TGATGAGGCAGCTTAAAACGTGACAAAGGCCTTGTCTACACTGCATAGTTTTGTTGACAAAAGTCAAGTTTTGTCCACAAAACAGTGGAGGTGTACACACAACAACGCTGCTTCCTGCTATGCTGACATCATAAACCCACCTCGAAGAGCGGCATAGAGCTTTTTGTGATGAAGTTAGAGCAACTCAATGTCAGTGTAGACATTGTGCTTGCTGGGTGGTGCACTAGGGCAATGCCCATCATGACCGCTCTGGTAAACTGTTCCTACTCTACTGCCCTGCAGCCACATACACTGGTATGCGCCCCATCTCCTCTAAAGCCCCAGAAATGTTTGAAATTCCACTTCCTTTTTGCTCCTCATGGACAGCTCACATTACATCTTCCCAGCTGACCCCATGCCGGCTTTCCACAGCAAACGCGCTCCTGCCTGGAGTATACTGGAGTTACTGGGTCGGTAGGGAAAGGAGGCTGTGCAGTCGCAGCTCTGATCCAGCCATAGTAACTTGAACACCTATAAGCAGATTGCTCATGGCATGGATGAGAAAGGGCATGAAAGGGACACGCAGCAATGCCATGCTAAGATCAAGGAGCTGAGGCTGGTGCACCAGAAGGCCAGGGAGGCCAATCATCACGCTGGGACGGTGCTGAAAACATGCTGTTTCTAAAAGGAGCTGCATGTCATCCTTGGCTCTGACCCCACCTCCACCGCCAAGAGCCCCATGGATTCTTTGGGGTGACAGAGGCAGCGGACAGCGAAGTCAACCCCGAGGACAAAGTGGATGAGGAGGTTGAGTTGAGGGGGACAGGTGAAAGGCTCGTCCAGTGGCATGGTGAGCCAGTACCTCTTTTTGACTTCAGAGGGGTCTAGCGAGTCCGGTTCTGGCATGCCTGAAGCAGGAGAGGGGTGCTCCGGTAACTACTCATTTTGCTTTGATACTGCACAGGTACATGAGATAGAGGTATCCTTTATTTTGTTACATGGTGCATGTGGGAGAAGAGATTGAAATTAACAACACATGGCACTGTTTGCAAATGCTTCTCATTCCCCTGTGCATCTGCGCAGTGGGGGCCCTGCAGAAAAGTTTGTTAATGCAAATTGCACACCTAGATTGCCTGGAAATCCTCTGTAGAGATCTCTCGGAAACTTTCCGGCAGGTACTCTGCAATTCTCTGATGAAGATTCCTTGGCAGAGCTGCTTTGTTTCTTCCCCTGTTGTAGGAAACTTTTCCATGCTAATAGGCAATTACTTCTGCAGGAACCAAGGCAGCACACAGGCAAGCAGGATATGGACCCAATTTGAAGCCACATGCATGCAGGAGATGCACCCTTGCATCTTCAGTTACCCTCAGGAGTGTGATTTCAGCTTGATCACCCCTTAATCGTTCATGGAAAATGATGTCAGTATTCAGAAAAGTGTCCCTAGGTACTTGTACTGATTCCCTTCTAAAGCCATCCAGACCCTTTTGTCCCATCTTGCACTCCTTCACCCCCGAGGGCGAACTCACTATGTTTAGTGCTCTGGCCATGCTGTGTGCTTGCCAAGGGAAAGTGAGAAAAAGGTGTATAACTTTTATGATTCAAGACTGTGAGTACACACACAATACTGACTCTGTGTATTGTTTTTTTTTTTGGCTTCTGCAGATGTGCCCTTGAGGGACAGCTCCTACACATCGGCGGAGTGAGTGCCTCCGTCAGATAAGGAGGTGATTGAGGAGGAGTTAGATGGACATGTTTTGAGAAGTGCTGCAATCGTCTGTTCAAGCCAATAGCGAGCCTGGAGAGAGACAGTAAATGAAAAACTAGAAATGGATAGCCAGGGGAGGAGACACGGGCAGGAGCGGATAATAGAGAGTGAGGAGCGGATGATAAAACTCATGGAGGACCAAACAGAGATGCTCAGGTCCCTGATTCTGCTGCAGGCAGAACACATGCATGCTTGACTCTCCCTGCAGCCCATACAGAACTGCATTCCATGCCCTCACCAAACTCCCCACTCATGTTCCCAGCCTGTCTCAGTACCTCTTGCATTCTAAGCCAAGGACATTTTCCATAACAGCAGCTGGACTTACACACAGCTGGTGACATTCTCATTTCAGAGAGTGCTACTCAGTGTCATGTCCCTTGTAAGAAATGTGAATCTGTGTATTGCTGTTTAAGAAAAATGTAGTCTTAAAAAGACACTGGTTCTTTATTTGTGACCTACACAAAGTGGTTGCAGCAGAAATTTATACACAGTGGCAATTGGCACATTGGCAGACTACAATTAATGCTCAGGCAGAAATCATTACAAGGGTCATTCAAGGTGGCAAGTAAACAGTGTCATTACAGAAAGACATATTAGTGGGTCTCATTGTCAAAATGCGGCCTCAAAGCCTCCTGGATTCTAATGCCCCCCCATTGAGCCCCTCTAATAGCCCTGGCATCTGGCTACTCAAAATCATCTGCCAGATGAGTCACCTTAATGCTCAACCCCTGGGGAAACTTTTCCCCTTTGGCTTCACAAATGTTAGGCGAAGCACAGCAGGCTGCTATGACTATGGGAATATTTTCCTCATTGATGTCTAACCTGACAAAAAGGCAGCACCAGCGACCTTTTAATCTGCCAAACACACTTTTAACTGTCCTTCTGCACCTGCTGAGCTTGTTGTTGAAACGCTCCTTGCTGCTGTCAAGGTTTCCAGTGTATGGCTGCATGAGCCACAGGACTAAGGGGTAGGCTGGGTCTCCTGGGATGGGCATTTCAGATCTGAAATGAAAGTCCCTGCATGCAGTTTTCTATACAGGCCAGTTTTCCTGAAGATGCTTGCATCATGCACCTTCCCTGACCACCCTGATGTCAGTGAAGTTACCCCAGTGATCCACCAGCGCCTGCAATACCATAGAGAAATAGCCCTTTCTGTTGATGGTCTGGGGCCAAAATTGGGATATGCATGCCATCTATCACCCTGCTGCAGTTAGGAAATTCCATTGCTGCAAATCCATCCAGTATTTCCCACATGTTGCTGAGAGTCACAGTCTTTTGTAGCAGGAGGCAATTAAGGGCCCTGCACACTTGTATCACTGCAACTCCCATGGTGGACTTTTAAACTAATTTGCAACTGAGTGGTTGCAGTCTGCAGTTGCCAGCTTCCACACAGTGATCACCGCTTGCTTTTCTAACACTAGGGCAGCTCTCATTTTGGTGTCCTTGTGCTGCAGGGTGTGAGCAAGCTCCACACACAGTTCCAGGAAGGTGGCTTTGAGCATGTGAAAGTTCTGCAGCCACTGCTCATCATCCCATACCTGCATCACAATCAGATCCCACCACTCAGTGCTTGTTTCCTGAGCCCAGTAGTGATGGTCTACCGTGTGCAGCTGCTCCATGAATGTCAACATAAATCTTGAATGATTTCTATCCATGGCGCGCACAACAGGGCAGGCACCACGGCTTCCTGTTCAGATTTGCAGCTCATGAAATACTGCTGGATCAGCCACATTGTGTTCATAATGCTTATCACAAGATTTGGTGAGCAGTGCAGGATTCATGCTTTCAGGCAGAGATGGAGGGTACAAAGTTTACTGGGGCAGTTGGAAAATGGCACGAAACATAGTTGAAAGCCTTGGAATTATGGGATGGAGAAAACTGCATCATGGGATAGTGATCCTGCCCCCGTGCTGCATTGTGATCCATTCCCAGAACGTCTAACGGCAGAAGGTGGCTATTTGCACAGTGGGATAGCTGCCCAAATAGTGCACTGCTCTCTCTGTTGGTTCTAAATCACCAACTGTGGACGCGCTCCGCCAATACAAGGCACGTGGTGTGAACATGTACAAGTGATGTAATTACAGCAGTTTATGACCATTGACATAACTTAAGTCAACTTAACTCTTTAGTGTAGACATGGCCTAAGAAATATGCATGCCTGAGGCCTGATTGTTCTCTTTTACACTGGTATAATTCAGTTGACTTGAATGGAGCTACTCCTAATTACCAGTGTTGGAAATAGGATGTTGATGCCGTGATTGGATTCTGCAGTTGTCATACTTCTCAGGCTCCCTGGAAAATGAACATAATATAGATGAAGCATGGAGCTATGAGATATGTGAGAAAGTACAAAGTGAAGGAAGCCCAACTCCATGCTTTGTACCAAACAAGACTGGAGTGTGGGTACAGCAGCTGCAAATAAGAGATGTAGTTTGAAGATGGAAGACAAGAAAATGCAGACTGGGGTAAACTTTGTGGTCTGGCACTTTTGCTGCTTGGTGTTGGCTGTGGTTATACATTGTGGGGTGTAGGAGGTTCTTAGCTATGCACACAACAGGGATGAAGACTGAAAATAGAATAGGGCCAGCCCTGTTGCCTGCCTGGTACTGGGCTATGTTGGATGCAGCTGGGGTGCAGTAGAGCTCCCAGCCGCTACAGGAGGATAACGCTGAGGACAGCCCTGCCCTCTGCCTGGTAAAGCTGGGAGAAGCCCTACTGAGGGTGTGTGGTTTGGGTGGGAGTGCTATGACTGGCCTGTGCAGCAATACGGAGGGGGAAGAGCCCTGTGCCTAGGCTCTGGAGCAGGGGGGAAACAGCAGACTGTGGGGATTGAAGCTGGCAAGGGGTGGAGGGATGCCACGTTTTGGACACAGGTATAGAGTAGAGGGAGTCCTGGGGATGGAGGCTCTGTACTGGCTGCGTGAGGAGAGCTCTGCGGCAGGTGCAGAGGCTAGAAAGCTCCAGGAGGCGGAGAGCCCTGGGCGGGGGCAGCCCTGTACTCTCCGTAGCTGTGGTATGAGGAGAGCCCTGTGGTGGCTGCAGCCGTAGGGCCCAGGGAACCTTGCGGGAGTCGAGGGGAGCCTCGCGCCCAGGGATGAGCGCCCGGGAGGTGGGCTGGGGGGCGGGCAGCGTTGCCCGGCGCTGGGGCGCTAACATGGCTCTCCAGCCGAGGAGCTGCCGGCGCCGCAGCGCCACCTGCCGGAGCTCGGCGGCCTGGCAGGTCACGTGAGGCGCTCAGGGCCTGCTGCCGCCGCCGCTTCCCCCAGTCAGAGCGGAGCGAGCCGAGGCAGAGACGAAGAAACAAGATGGCGGCCGGTAGCGATCCGGAGCGGGACGCCGGCAATTCGGATTGATCCCCCGGCCCTCGCAGTTCGGCGGCCCCCCTCCCCGGCCCGGAACCCTCGCAGGGGGGGGAGCTTCCCCGCAGCTGCCTGTCCGGACTCCGAGCGCCCTCCCCAGCCTTCCCTGCCCCTCCCTTCCCCCCTCGGCCAGCGCCCAGAGATGCGGGGCCGGCGAGGCAGGCCGCCCAAGCAGCAGCAGCCTGCGGCGGCCACCGCTCAGGCGAGCTCCCCGGCTCCGCCCGCCCCACCGGGCCCCATTGGGGGGCTGAGGTCCCGGCAGCGGGGTAGCAGTCGGGGCAGGTGGGCGGCCTCGGCCCAGGTGGAGGCGGTGGGGCCCAGGCCGAGGGGGGCCGGGACTGCTCAGGCCTCTTCCTCCTCCACCGCCTCCCCCAGAGGGGGCAGCAAGAGGAAGGGAGGCAGCGGCAGCAGCAGCACCCCTGGTGGTGGAGGCAGCAGCAGTAGGGGCAGGGGCCGGGCTGGGGCTGGAGGAGCAGGGGGAGGAGGCGCAGGAGGCAGCTGCAGCAGCCAAGGCAGGGCTGCCTCGTCCAGGAGGAGCATCAGCAAAGTGGTGTACGATGATCATGAGAGTGAAGAGGAGGAGGAGAGCGTGGTGTCCGAAGAGGAAGAGGAGGGGGACCCCGAGGATAACCAGGACTCCGAGGAGCAGGAGGAAGAGGAGATCATGGAGGAAGACGACGACGACGACTCCGATTACCCCGAGGAGATGGAGGATGAAGATGATGCCAGCTATTGCACTGAGAGCAGCTTCAGGAGCCACAGCACCTACAGCAGCACCCCAGGTATACAGTCAATGGGATGCACTGTAAACGAAGGGGAGGGCACCCTACATGCTCCCTCTAGGTCTGGAAACACACATTCCCAGGGGAAGGGGAAGGCAAGCAATAGCAAGGGATGCCTGCGAGCAGACACGGGGAGAGAGGCATGCAAATCAAGTGGTGCTGGCAACCACACAAATGCGTTGAGAATCAGAAGGTGCTTATAAACTCACACAGGGAAGGAGAAATAATATGTGCACAGTAAGGATGCTATCACACACAGAGAGAGGGCTTGCAACTACATAGACGCATGCTACGCCAGAAAGTGTTCACAAACAGTGGCAAAGGACTTGTATAGAGCATCCAATGGTACTTTTATAAAGGAAAAGGAGATGCATGCATACTAAAAGGGTCCTTGCAAATACATATAGACAAGGATGCCTGTTAACATCAAGTTCTTCTTGCAGACACAAGGAAAGGAAGTGCATGCAACATGAGGTGTCCTCCAAAAATTAAACTCAGGATTTGCAAGTGTGCCTTGCAGACATGCATATAGTGTTTAGTGGCCTCAGAACAAAACTAGCTTTACTAGAAGGGAAAGGAGGTGCATTGTTCAAAATGGAGATTGCATTGTTGCAGTTTGGGGAAAAATTCACAGGGCTTCATTGCACTGGTTTAAACCCAGTTTTAGTTACTGGTGTGTTTAAAAAAAAAAAAAACACATCCAAACATAGAACTAAAAGTGGTAAAAATGGAAATCAAAGGTGAAGTAGGTTTAAGTCTTCAGAATACTTGCATTTAAACACTGCATTTATTTTAAAATGTCGCAAACTTTAAAACTTGGTTTATTAATTAGGGGTTTGAGGCTCACTTTGATTATTTGGATTTACAGTTTTACTATTTTAATTATAAAATGTATTCTTTTTACATCAGTAACAACAATCTGGTCGTCTTTCAAATTTTTAAACCCTGCACTCCTCTTTTCCCATAATTTGCTTTATTATAGGAGTTTTTGAAGCTTCACTCAAAATTATGATTTGTCTAGATTTGCACCACTTTTTATTTACGGTTCTCTTTCACTCCGGTAGAGTTTAGGCTTGACCTTTTTAAAAAAAAGGTCCTGATTCAGGGAGGTATTTAAGCCCAGGCATACATTTAAATTATCTTGATGAATTGGGCCATAGGCAACAAACACTCTTGCAGTCTAAGTATTTGGTATTGGGGAGAAAAACACATAGCTTGTGTGAATTTATTGAACTTAATAAAATAGCTGTGTGGTCTTGTACAACTTGTAGACAACTTTTGAGAAGGAGAAGTAGTAGTTCAGGTTGCTAGAATGTGTCATTTGTTTTAATTATTTGTCTACTTAATGGATATATGCAAAGGGGATGCCATTATGTGGCTTTGCAAAACTTCGAAAGGAGTAGAATTTTTTTTGTAAAGGCACCACTTTCATATCCTAAGGATCCTAAATTCAGTAGTCTTTTAAAAGAAATTGCAAGACAATTTAAATATAATGTAACTACCAAAGAGAGATCATCTTTTGGAAAATGGATTTTAGTTCACCTGTAGGGATCGTACTTTGATCAGTTTGATGTCTTTCAAATAGTTCTTGTTTAAAGATGAACTCTTGTACCAAGTTAGACCCAAGCACTGAAAGTTACTATTCTGCATTTTCTTAACTAAATGGAAATGTAATAGTTATGTGGGAGCTTTTCATAGTTACCCACCTTCTCCTGCTTGGTCAAGGGAAGAATTTGTTTCCTGACTTCATAGGTTCATGCTGAGAAATATTTTGATGCCAAAAATCCAGGTGTAAGATCCATTATACAGAATACAATAGAGAATTTCTCAAGTCCTGAGGAAAAGTACCTAAATTAAAGAGATTAAATATTTTGGCAAGCAACAAGATACCTTTGGGCACATGTGCATATTGTCACTGTATGCATACACAAGTGTATGTGGTATTTAAGTGCCTACTACTAAAACAACAATGCACTTTATAAGAACTGGTAGAATTATAAATTTATGTGCTTATTTGAGTTTAAATCTCAAATTTAAAAATGTGTACATTTAAAATGTTATCTTTTGAGGCATCACATATATAGATCCCAAACTTGTTGCTGAGTTGCCAGTTGGTGGCAAGAAAAACTGTATTGTAGCCTGTCTGGTATTTTAGCAGTATACTGAAAGGTTTACTTTTTAAGTTACTTAAATAATTTTGTGTCTTAAGTTGTCTCTCAAATTCTTATCTTCAGAAAAGAAGCAAGTGATGCCTAATGTTGCTTATTACAGGTGATGAATAATAAAGTACCAACTTTTAATTTGGCCAGCTGTAAGTCTGTGTCCAGTTCCTGCCGAACAAATATGTGTTTCACAAACACTGCCACTTACAGATAGCAGTAACTGGTATCTTAATCTCATCAGATCCTAGAAGTGATTTGGGCATGGAACCTGAACTGCCCTCTCATTGGAGGTGTGGTCCTATTCATGGTTGCAGCATTTTTGTAGAGATGTGTGTGGGGAAATTATGATGCTGCTGCCTGTGCTGTGCAGACAATTTAAGTACAAGTGTCAGTCAAACACTTCTCACCAGCCATATGTGGACACTTCAAACAAAAATCACGTTCAGTTTACATGAGTGAGATACAATTCTAAAAAATTTAAAAATCTATTAATATATTGAAAAATAACATGATGATATGTCCCTAGAGCATAAGAATGACCAGACTGGGTCAGACCAAAGGTCCATCTAGCTCAGTATCCTGTCTTCCAACAGTGGCCAATGCCAGGTGCCTCAGAGGGAATGAACAGAACAGGTAATCAAGTGATCCATCCCCTGTCACCCATTTACAGCTTCTCGCACACACAGGCTAGGGACACCATCCCTGCCCATCCTGGCTAATAGCCATTGATGGACCTATCCTCCATGAATTTATTTAGTTCTTTTTTGAACCCTATTATAGTCTTGGCCTTCACAACATCCTCAGGCATGGAGTTTCACAGGTTGACCTTCCGTTGTGTGTGTGAGTGGGGGAAGGGGGCTCAGTTTTTTTGTTCTACTGGAAAGTTTGTGATGTCTCTTGAATGTGCATATTGGAGTATCTAATACTTTTGAAACTTGAATATTTAAGTTTAGAAAATTAAAAAAAAATCTTAGGAATATCATTATGGCATTGACATAAAGCTTGACAATTAGTGCAGATTCAGTTGTAAGCACAACCATTATGGCTGCTTGTTGCTTCCAAGGGATGTGATGTTTTTCTTTTGCTGGGGGAGCCAGCATCAGTCATGTTTTGCCAATCAGCTGGTAGAGGGACTTTGACTAGTTCAGCAAATGTACTGTAGTTGGATGCAACGCTGATCCAAGTATCCCTATTCTATTATGCCTTTGACGTCCATTATTTTAGCAAGCAAATTTTGAGATAGTTATCCTTTGTGTTCTGTATTTCAAAACATTGTCTCCTCCACGTGTCCACTCTAACCTTTTACTTTAAGCTTATTATGATGTAAATACATATCCAATACCTCAGGTACATTGCTTAATTTAAAGCCATGTGCTTAAACAAGATGCCCGAACAATCAGTCTCATCCTACCCTCCATCTCTTTCTCAATTATTTCCTCCTTTTCCCACAAAACCCGGGGAAAGCAGTTGGTTCTTGCAGCATGTCTTCAAATCAGGGTTTTGGCTAACTGAGAGAATGAAATGTCAGAATGGCTGACAAATGATTCCTAAGCACTTGATTTGTGAAGAGCCAGAGGACTATATGTACAAACACTTCATTAAATTTCTTGACTTGGATTCCATCAATGTGAAAGTTAATGCAGCTATAAGCCATCATTATTTGCTTCTGAAGCTAGTCACTTTACCAGAGTGTTCTTACTTTTGTAGCAGAATTATTCTATTGGAGAATAAGTGTTGCACATCTCTCAAACTTTTTAACTGTAATTTTTATTGCCTAATATTCTTTTATGTACCAGGTTATTTAAATGAAGGGGAGTTATTTAAATGGAGGCACTAAGGTTTGATATTGAGGTACGTAAACTAAACTTTACTGATCGTGTCTGCGCTGTAGGAATATTCACACAGCACTGACTAAACTCCTGAAGTCTTTACCAAGCATGCACTGGGCTTTAAATAAAACCTGGCATGGCTTCTCTTGAGGCAGTCTCTAACTGGTTGTTTAATTATGTAGAGGAGATGTCACCTAGACATCATGCCTATTATGAAGGAACACAAGAGGTGATTTGACAATCCTAGTGAGAAGTTTGTGTAAAAGAACAAGTGAATAGGTTTGTGGCTAATTCTGTTGCATTGACTTGCAGCTTTTACCAGAAAGGGGAGAATTTGTATGCTAGCTCAAGAATCTCTTAAAAATCCATTTAAAATAAAAACCGAAACAATTATGGTCTATTTGCATAAATTAAAAAAAAGAGCATTCTTTGTGTGAATAGTTGGATTTGAACTCCTCCTTAGCTTATTAGCAGTTGGATATTGTGCCATACTAGCTACCTTGTAAATTTCTTCTAGTTCTGCAGTAAGGTTTCAAATTTGACCTATGATCTCAGTGTCACATGGTATTAATATATAGACAAATAATTATTATAATTGGTCAATATAATTTTGGGTAGATTTTCTTGTTTTTTTCATGGAGAAATTTAAATATACTTTATTCTAATTCCTAAATTAAGTTTACATATGCTGAATATAATTGTAGCTCCTTTAATAATAAAATAAAGCTGTCAGTCATCCTAAATTGCTGAAAAAGTAGCTAAATTGCATCAATCCTGTAAATTTTCAATTTTGGATCCCTGGATTGAAATGTTGCTTAGATGATAGGTGACTATGAGTACCTCTCAGAATGACCACACTGGACTTAGGTATTGGTATATCTCATACTACTATTCACCAAAACATTTAAAAGGATGTGGGAAGTAGTTAGTAAACGACATAGTCTTTGTAGTTGACTAGTATTTAGAGGGATCCATATAGTTTTAATGCAGATGGTCAGGTTTATAAGAA